CCCGTCGGCTGTCATAACACGTAACCAATAGAAGCCAGTAGTTGAGTTTGATGGCCGATTGGTTCGGAACACTTCTCGGTTTAGTTACGGAACTGCCAACATTTGAGGGAAAAAATAAGCTAAGCTAATACGGTTCGAATACACCTAATATAATCCATAGACATATAAGGTAGACCATGATATAAAGACAATGGCTGCGTTCAGCAGAACGTTTGTTTTGCAACTGTTGGAAGTTTCCTTCGCGCTAATTGGATCATACTTTTAGATCTAGAAGAATGGTCCTATCTCAGCAGATAATCATAAAACGGTTGCAAAACTGTTGAGTCTGCTGAACGCAGCCAATCATAAAACGGTTGCAAAACTGTTGAGTCTGCTGAACGCAGACATCGGTATTGCGCATGGCCACGCCCACTGGCCAATCAAAATATGTAGCAAGAATACGTCATCATTAAGCGCGAAATTCGAACGTATGCTTTTAAGCATGCCTTTCTATTCGAAAAATTTTCCGATTCCTCTCAATCTGACTCATTTTTTGTCTTATGATGGTAATTTCCTCATCCTTTAACTGCACAATGTATTTTGAATGTGAAATCACTCGATTTTGCACTACGGAATTTATTCGGCGTGTGCTGCACATGTGTTAGCTACATAGCGACCATATTTTATTAACACGAACTGCTCCGGATATAGCCGAATGTGACGTGATTGATACATGCGCAGTGGTCCTGGTTTATCACCGATCGAGCATGTTTGTCTTTATATCATGAGATAGACCCAACATCCATATACTTTTCTATAGTATATGCTGGATTTGGCAGAACGGTGCGAGAGGCAAAGGCTGCGTTCAGCAGACTCAACAGTTTTGCAACCGTTTTATGATTGTCTGCTGAGATAGGACCATTCTTCTAGATCTAAAAGTATGATCCAATTAGCGCGAAGGAAACTTCCAACAGTTGCAAAACAAACGTTCTGCTGAACGCAGCCAATATATCGGGGCAACTCATCCTTCTCTGCGCGTAACTTGACACTTATATTACTGAAAAAAATAAAATCAGATATAAAAGTAAGAGTAATACTCAAGAATTCTACCTTCCTCACAGATTTTGATAAATTAAAGCAGAGAATATTTATTCTAGCCTCACGTGTTCACATGTCTATACCATCGATGTCACAGATTTCCTAACCTGAATAGTCATTAATTTGAACGATTAATATCTCGGTCTACGGGGCGTCATTTTTTTTGTCACATTCGTTCATTTCGTGCAAAAACGTATCGAATGAGCCTAATTTTATCAAAATTGATGAGGAAGGTAAAATTATTCAGTATCAAAGTTTACGGTCAAGATGCACGCGCAGAAAAGGATAGGTTGCCCCCCAATATTTTGCCTGTCGCACCGTTCTGCCAAACTCATATATATATATATATATATATATATATCATAGTATTCTCGCAATTAATGCTTTCCCAGCCTATGACATCACGTCCACTGGTGAGACATCGCGTTTATCTTCTCGGTTATTTTCACGTTCATAGCCGTAGTCGGACAAACCGGACTAACCAATAGAGATTGGAGAAACTAGCGTATTGTCCATAATTCCATCTGACTACGACCATGAACGTGAAAATTACCGAGAAAATAACGCGCAATGTCAAAACAGAGATGGAAGGCATTAATTGCGCGAATTGTACTATCGTAGCCAATGACATATTAGAGTCCCTTTTTCTTCAACAGGTCGCCATTTCTAAACTATTGTAATTAGGTGAAAAATCTATAGGACCTTTCTTGTTCCTCTCGACGAGACCTATCCATCCATGCACATAAAGTCTACTGCACTTCAAAGGTAACAAAGTTGAGACTTTTTAGGTTTTTTTTTCATTGACCAATTACAGTCGAATACGAAGAGAATAATCGACTATGATTCGTTGATTTCTTATGGTTTAAGGCTTAAAAACCTATTGTAGATCCAGGCTAACACTTTTATGCTTTTTTAATCGCAATAAATTAAATTTACATGTTTTAAGGAAACAACCACAAATAAACGTTAATATTGAATTTTCTTATAAATTCTCGTAAATTCTTGTACTATTACATAATACGGTATAATACGGTAATATTCTTTGTTACCTTCTCCGATTTTATTTTTACCGAGAATTTTTTAACTCTAGTCTAATGTACATACCTATATAGTATGTAGTAATTCAGAATGAATTATGTAAGTATTATAAAGCTCTAGCTTTGACTGTTAGGGCCATTATTCCTATTTCTTATTGTTGAATATTCAAATGCACGGTCCAGTAAGATTCTTATTGTTAAAGATTAAAGTCATAAAATAGAATTACAGATTTGTAATAAAATTACAAGTTTTTGATCTTTTGGGATGTCTTTAATTATACAATCATAAAACAATACTTGAAGACTATGAAAATTCTCTTACTATGAAAATCCTCATTTTGTGTCAGATCATTGGCTGTACATAATATGTACAACTCTTTTTATTGTAGTAAATATACTAGCCATTGTTTACATCATGTTCAACTTGGTCCAATTGTACTTCTTCCTTTTTCTCTGTATGATCATTATCAAAATTTTCATTTATTACAGACTCTATTGAAATATCAGCATTATCATTACTATCATTGATTGCAGCCTCAATATTATGTTCTGGATTAGGATCTCGATTTTCTTCACCCTCTTCTAGTAAACGTGGAGCTTCTACAGTATGTAAAGATGAAGATGCTTCAAAGTTTTGCGAATGTTTGCTTAACCCTATTTGAACCTCTATTAGATTTAATTCTTCAACCAATGCTTTTTCTCTTTTTTCAATTTCCTCTGAAACAATACAAAAAAATATACATTTGCATAAATATACATAAATGAATTTACATAAAATAATAGGACTGTTTTTTGTTGTTGTACTGTATTAAAACTTTCTATCTGGCTTTTATCAAACTTCAAACATTTATTTCATTTTAGATACAATGTATAAACTAATTTAGCTATAAAGAACAGATCTAATATTTATGAGATTACTAACCATGAAGTTCTTTTGTAGACTGCGCTAATAACACGTCTGTTTGTGGGTGTTTACGCTTTGGTATATAATAAATAGAAGGTTGTGCATGTGTTTTAATAAATAAAGCAAGAGGTAACTGTGCATTGCGCCAATCTTGAAATTGTCTACTACGTGCAAGCTTTGCTTCCAATGCTCGCACTTCAGTCAATTGCCGTTTTCGTGACAAAAACAATTGTTGTCTTTCTCTTCGCAATTCTTCTTTTTCTCGTCTTCTAGCTTCTTCTACTCTAGCTTCCACTTCTGCTTTTTTATCTTCCTGCAAATGAAACATTATACTTCAAAGACACCAGAAGGTTTGCGGATTATCGTCGTGTTTTCATCCACCGCTAATGCCAACGTTTCATAAACCTGACAAGATTCATGAAACATTGGCATTAGCAATGGATGAAAACATGGCGATAACTTGCAAACCTTCTGGTGTCTTTGAAGATAATACCTGTGAAAGCCTAAAAAGCATTATACTTCATGATAAGCTACTGACTAAATTTAAATATATCCTACCTTCGCTTTGAGTTTAGTTTCCTCTTGTCTAAATTTTTGTAAAGTACCTAAAAGTGCACCAAACATTCGTTTATTTCTTTGTCGACTACGCTCATCTATTCTTTCTCGTCTGATAACTTCTTGACGTGAAGGAATTTCTCGAGGAGTAGCTATTACTCTGGATGATACAGCGGGCTTAATAAACACATCAAAATACATATTAGTTTATACTGAATTAATCCAAAGTTCATATTGAATTATATACAAATATTAAAGTAAAATACATCAAATAATATCTAAAATCATACTGGGTCGGTTAAAAATACGTAAATTAAATACAGGGTAGTCCACGTAAAGTGTTACAAGCTAATAACTTTAAAAATATTTATCCTATCAAAAAGCTGTTCATGAGAAAGTTTCATATATTCAAGGGCATCTTTCTAATTATGTAAACAAAAAATCCTCTCCCGCCCCCTCTTTAACGGGGCGATAGGTAACATCAAAGTTTTAAATGGAACCTATAAAATGTTATACATTTGGATTCTACGGGAAAAAACAAGTAAACTGCGTCTGAAACATTTCTTTCGAAAATACTTCTATCAAAAGTTTAACATTTAAACTTTAAGGTAGAGTACTTTCAAACTAATGATAAAAGCATAAATTAAATAAAAGACTTCATTGTTTTTTTTG